AGAATGATGGAAAAAATTAAAATCTTTATTTAATCTCTTGAGTTAACATCCAGGTGCGGAATTTGTTATCTCTTTTTTAAAAATAATGATTTTACTGTTGTTCAATTACAGTTGTCTGCATTTTCTCCCAACTACTCCCCCACACCCCAGCCAAACCCCCCTCCTTTCCTTGCTTCCATCCTCCCCCCACCCGGTTTTGTCCATGTGTCCTGTATAGTTGTTCCTGAAAACCCTTCCTCTCACTATCCCTTCCCACCTCCACTCTGGTTACTGTCAAATTGTTCTTAATTTCCATGTCTCTGGTTATATTTTGCTTGCTTTTTTCTTTTGTTGATTATGTTCCAGTTAAAGGTGAGATCATGTGGTATTTGTCCGTCACTGCCTGGCTTATTTCACTTAGCATAATGCTTTCCAGTTCTATCTGTGCTGTCGCAAAGGGTAGGAGCTCCTTCTTTCTTCCTGTTGCATAGAATTCCATTGTGTAAATGTACCATAGTTTTTTAATCCATTCATTTACTGATGGGCACTTAGGTTGCTTCCAGCACTTGGCTATTATAAATTCTGCTGCTGTGAACATTGTGGTGCATGTGTTCTTTTGAATTGGTGTTTCAGGGTGCCTAGGGTATAATCCTAGCAGTGGAATTAACGGATCAAAAGACAGTTCTATTTTTTATTTTTTGAAGAAATTCCCTACTGTTTTCCACAGTGACTGCACCAGTCTGCTTTCCCACCTACAGTGCACTAAGTTTCCTTTTCTCCACCACCTCGCCAGCACTTGTTTGTTGATTTGTTTATGGTGGCCATTCTGGTCGGTATGAGGTGGTATCTCATTGTGGTTTTAATTTGCATCTCTCTGATGGCTAGTGATGCTGAGCATCTTTTCATATGTCTCTGGGCCAGGGGGCCCTTCTTGGAGAAGTATGTCCTTCTTGGAGAAGTGTCTGTTCAAGTCTTTTGCCCATTTTTTAATTGGATCTTTTGTCTTCCTGGAGTGGAGTTGTGTGAGTTCTTTATATATTTTGGAGATCAAACCCTTGTCCAAGGGATCATTGGCAAATATGTTTTCCCATATTGTTGGTTCTCTTTTCATTTTAGTGCTGTTTTCTTTTTTGGCCATGCAGAATCTTTTTAATTTGGTGAGGTCCCATTTGTTTATTCTTTTTTTTATGCCCCTTGCTTTAGGAGACGTCAGAGTCTATCCTTAATAAATAGCAAAACATCTTTAAACTCACCTCTCTCCATTTCAGCCACTCTCAAAACCCTCCTCACCGCTGGCAGCTGCTCCTCCTAATTACCTCTCAACTCCCCACCTACCACTCTTTTACCCCTGGCTTGTCACCCTGCTGTCCCCCCACCTTATTGCTGTTTCTTTACAATGGGTGTCATCGTGCCCTGGGAGTCACATACTGGCCAGCAAGGACCACATGAGCCTGCTGGTTGTTTTGTCTGGCTTCTGTAACAATCAAGAAACTTTGTACAGAAATCCAAATTTGGGGCTTGACTTGAAACATGATTAGATCGGGCTCCAAGGGGGCTGCACTCTGGCCTGGCAGCGGTCGGCTGAGCCGACTTCGGAGATTCACTGCCTTTTGCTTCTCATGTCCCCACTCTCAGCAGCTTCTACACTGTTCCTGTTGCCCACGGCATCTCTGCCTCGTCCCTGCAAGTGTTTCACTCTGTGGCTCCCGTTCCAGCTTCACACCACCTCCCAGCACTGATCCCGGGATGGAAGAGACTGGAGGGCGGTAAGTGGGCAGTGCCACGATTTTCTTTAAGGGGCAGAGTGCAGGGAGGGACAGAGGCAGTGAATACACACAGAATAAAAATACTTGCCACTGTTACCTGTAAAATCGCAAATTTTGATAAATGATGTGAAGAAAAAGTATAGATTTGTGCTTTGTTCCCGCACCCACCATGACTGGGGTTATAAAGGCTGCGTCCTTACCCAGCAGGCTGCACGGCCTTAGTGGAAAGTCTCCCAGAATCCTGAGCGAGGCCAGAAGATGAGGTTTGGGGTCTGTCAGTCCATGTCAGCACTGTTAAGGGACCCTGAGAGCTGCTCTGGTGACACAGGGAGGCTGGAAAGAGCAATCTGGGAGCATTTGTTCTGTGGAGTGAAATGGCTCTGCTCTGTTTTAAGAAGGAAACCAGGAACGAGCTGACAGGTTTGCTCTGGCAGCGAGATGCGGAGGTTGCTCAGGAAAGGAAGACCAAGGTTTATTATGATTGAGTAAAGCCCTTAATTGCCACTTTGGATGGAGCTTAGTTTTTAAATTCATATTCCGTAGCCAAAGGGCTTCTCCTCAGACAGAAGCACTGCAGCCAAATTAGTGGCTGGTCATCTTGTAAGAAAAGGCTATTTATTTTTAGTGAAAGTTTCTTGGAATTTCCCTGACTCCTGCTTGCTCTCACTGCCCCTGGCTGCCAGAGGATGTTAACAGGAGTGAGCAGGGTTGAACTTTGCTCGCAGCCATTTAGCTTTTTCCAGGGGCCTGTTTTCTTTTTTTTTTCTTTTGGGGGAAAGAGTGTGGCTTCTGGCTCCTTCTGATCTGCCTTACCTGGTGGCCCAGATGCTGCGGCAAGAGCCAGCCCCCAGTGATGGGCCCTTTGGTTCTGCTCCAGAGATGGTGACCCTCAGAGGTTTTCCTTCCAGGTGCAAGTGCCAAGAAGGGCACAGAGAGACACATGTTCCCAGTGACGAGCGGCTGGGAGTGTGGGAAAGACTCTAGTACACAGCTATCCGCTAAGTGTCCTCCCTTTGTCCCTCCAGATCCACTCCCTGCCCTCTGCCACCCTGCTCTGGGCCCCAGGAGGCTCACCTGTGTGGACCATGGCAACTGGATCCCTGGATTTCTGGTTTCCCCTTTGGTTTGGCCAGTGTAGAACACTGATGGGGTATCCTTCCTCGGCCCCTGTCCCATGGGGTTGCAGCTCTTACCAGGAGACCCTCTTCATACAGTTCGCTTCATTCAGATTCTGGAACTCATGTCCTCCCCTCTTCTTTTCAGACTTGGGGCAGTAATGGAACCTCACTGTTATTAGTCATGGAGTGGTATTCAACTGTCTTGTTCACCCTTTTGCAAATAGGTTGCTTATCGGTATCTCAAGTTATCGTGATTTGAGATATTGTACCATCTGTTCCCTGGAAGCTACAGTTAAGCAGATCTTCCAGAACAAGACTATCTTTCCTTGGGAGCAGGGGGGGAACCAGCCGGGGTCAGAGCCTAGATGCTGTGGCAAGAGCCAGAGCATGGCTCTGCCATGCGCAGGGGAGAGGGATACCCCCACGCCTGTGGCGGAGGGTAGGGATACAGCCCATTGTTTACTGGTAAAATTGAATGGCTCCAGATCCCCTTGCTCTGGCAAGACTCTCTTTCTTACACTCAGATGACAACAACTCAGGGACTGGATGCCAAATCTTCTGAATTGCTGGCAAATTCCTCTTCCGTGGCCTGAACAACCCCAAAGCTGTGCCGGTCGGTGCTAAAGATGATTTAGACATACACCAGTAAAGAGCCTTGAAGGTGTATGTTCTTACCGACTCTCATTGTTGCTCTCCATCTTCATTAAGCAAGGATGAAAATAGCTTTGTGTAGTTCATTTTCCTCCTACAGCTGGGCTCCCATGTAATATGCTCCCCAGTGAACCTCCAAAGAAAATGCCACATGCATATATGGCCTCCTCCCTGAGTTCCTTTTCCACTAAGAAAAGAAAGGCTGAAGGGTGAAAGAGAGTGTCTCATGTCGTACAATAATTCTTGGACGCACACAAACACAGGTATGCAGAGACTCACACGTGGCCTTTTCAGGGCACTGGAACCCCTTCTGTGTGTAGAAAATCCTTGTCTTCTTAGTTCAACAAAGACAATTTTAAAATACTTCTAAGAATCATGTACAAAGGACCTGAGATGAGGATGGCAGGTCAGGGACGAAATGAATAGGAATAGATGAGTTTAAAAATGCAGGTTTCACAAAGTCTTCCAGAAAATAGAAGAGGAATAAATACTCTACAACTAATTATATGAGACAAATTATTATGCTGATGCTTAAATCAGACAAGAACATTACAAGAAAAATAATAAACAACAATCCTCATTGTCATATATGTAAAATCCTTCACAGAATATTAGTAAATAAAATCCAGTAATATATACAAATGGTAATATATCAAAATTATGAATAAAGTGAAATTTATCATGCAAATATAAGACTGGTTCCACATTTAAGAATCAATTAATGTAATTCACAATTATTAACAAACTTAAAAAGAAAAATTATATTATCACCTAAAAAGATGCAGGGGAAAAAAAAACATTTTACAAATCTGTTCATGATAAAATTTTAAATAATTCTGCAATAGAAGGAAAAAGGCATCAATAAGAGCCCACAGTTCACATCAATGCTTAATGGTGGGAGACTGAATGCTTTACCCCCAAAGCTTGGAAAAGAGCAGGGATGTCTTCTCTCACCACTTCCAGTCAGGATTGTCCAAGCAGCTCTAGTCAATGCAATAAGGCAAGAAAAGTAAGTGAGTCATATATTTTAGACAGAAACAAGCAAAACTATATTCATAGAGGACATGATCATCTACATAGAAAATCCCAAAAGAATTATAACAATTACTGAACTTCTATGTGAGCTGAGCAAGTAAAAGGATACAAAGTCATTATAAATATGAGTTATACTTCTATGTACTATCAATTAACAATTGGAAATTGAAGTACAAATACAATTTATGATAACATCAAAGTGAAATACTGAGAGATAAATTTAACAAACTATTTACAAGAATTTTATGCTAAGAAAAATCAGAAGAGATCTAAATAAATAGAGTTATACATTGATTTTTATGGATTGGAATTCTCAACATTTAAGAAAATATTTTATTTATTTATTTTTAGAGAGAGGGGAAGGGGGAGGGAAAGAGGGGCAGTGAAACATCAGTGTGTGGTTGCCTCTCACATACCCTCCACTGGGGACCTGGCCTGTAACACAGGCACACGCCCTGAATGGGAATTGAACCCATGACCCTTTGCTTTGTAGGCCAGCGCTCAGTCCACTGAGCCACACCAGTCAGGGCTGAATTCTCAACATTTTTAAGATATTAATTCTTCCCCAGATTGATCAATAGAGTCAACAAATACTAAAAAAATTCAGGAGGCTGTTATTTAAAAAAAATTAAAAAAACAGATTCTAAAATTCATCTGGGAATACAAAGGATCTACAACCTCCAAAAGAGTTTTGAAAATGAGAGGCAAAGATGTGGGATCCATAATTCCTGATTTTGAGACTTACTATAGTGTTATAGCTATCCTAATATTGGTGTCTAATAATAAATAAAGGTAATATGATATCGAAGTAAGGAGATGACAGATAGATAGGTAGATAGATAGATCCTTGCACATACGGTCAATTGACTTTTGACAAAGGTGCCAAAGTCATTAAATGAGAGAAAGGAGAGATGTTTAATAAATTGTACTGAACAGTTGATATAATTAAATGTCCACATGTAAAAAAATGAATTTCTACCTTTACCTGTGATTGTGAAGTGGTATTTCATTGGGTTTTGACATGAATTTTCCTAATGACTTTAATGATGTAAACATCTTTTCATTGCTTTTTACCTGGCTATGTGCCTATTTTGGGAGAAATATCTATTTAAATCCCCCCTCCCATTTTAAAATTAGGCTGTCTTTCTGTTTGTTTTTTTTTAAATATTTTATTATTTATTTATCTTTAGAAGGGAAGGGGGGGAAGGAGAGAGGGAGAGAAACATCAATGTATGGTTGCCTTTTGTGCGTCCCCTGCTGGGAACTGGCCTGCAGGGAACCGGCCTGCAACCCAGGCATGTGTCCTGACTGGGAATCGAACCGTGATCGTGTGGTTCGCAGGCCCGCGCTCAATCTACTGAGCTACACCGGCCAGGGCTCTGTTCTTGAGTTATAGGAATTCTTTCTATATTTTTGATACTAGACCCTTAGCAGAGATATGTTTGCAACTTTTTCTCTCATTCTGTGGGCTGTCTTTTCACTCTCTTGATAGATGCACAACATTTTGGCAAAGTTCAATTTATCTATTACTCTTTTTCTGCTCGTGCTTCTTACGTTATAGCTAACAAACCATTGTTAAATCCAAGGTCATGAAGATTTACACTTACATCTTCTTCTAAGATTTCTACAGTTTTAGTTAGGTCTTACACTTAGACCTTTGATCCACTTTGAGTTAAGTTTTGTATGTGTTGTGAGGTAAGAGTTGAGCATCACTCTTTATCCTGCGGGTATCCAGCTTTCCCAGCACTGTTTGTTGAAGCAAGAGAACCATGTCTTTTTGAGGAGGTTCTAGGACAAGATTTTGAGTGTGGTTGGACGGTTCCTAGACCAGAAGTTCTCACATTTTCTCAGTTCATGATGATCTCAATGTCTCAGGGATACCTAACAGTTTCATGTCTTATAAATAGTTAGGGCCAAACAACTTAAGGAAGTCTTTATGCTCTAACAACCTATAGCTGTTTTTGAAATATTAATGTTAAGAGAAAATAATATTTTTATTTTATTCTTAAGTAACTGACAGTCATTAAAGGGGTGTACCTGGTCACCTCTGAATAACTTTCCAAACGCTGGATTCAGATATAGCACTACTACCCTCACATTCTGTTCTGTACTGATTTTCATATGGTACTTACTTTTTGTGACAGTAATCATTTGAAATCCAACTTTGCAAAGACATGATGCCCGCAAAACATAAAGCAGTCTTGGGCTAGTAGTTTATACGATGTCTGACACATATTAGATATCCCTGCATTTTCCTCAGAAGTTTGAAATGTTCTACAGTGAGCCTGTGAGTTTGCAGTGGTGTCCAGTGTACCCCAGCACGCAGCTGGGAAGCCACGGCCCTGGACTTGTGGGCAACTGGTTTTAAAGTTCAAGGCAAAAGAGACATAGTTCCATCGCAGGAGGCTCTAGAAGGGAAGGCTGTTTAAAAACGTTGAGAATGTTCAAAACTGCAATTTTACATGATTTTGGTGTGGAAGGATAAAAGGAACTTCACAAAGAAACCCTAACAAGTCCAGACTTACAGACAACAGGTACCATTGATGGACAGTGCGCGTGTGTGGGGAGGAGACATAACATTAGGTGCAAACCTAAAAGGGTGGCCCAGATATGTAATGGCAGGGCTGGAAACATTAACATCCCAAGTGAAGCAGGTCTGACAAAAAGCACTCAAGACAGCTAAAAGGGAAATTAACTTCTAGAGTAAGGAAAATATTTTTAGAGCAAGGAAGATCAGAGTAGGGGTAGGCCAAGTGTTTAGGTGGTTGTTGTAATGTTTACGGAGATCAGAGAGAAATACGAATCTGTCTCTTTTGTCAGGGAGAATGACGTTCAGACGAAAAAGACTGCGCTTACAGCGACGTGAAGGCACGTACCAGGCAGGAGAGCCCGGGTGTGCTGCGGGAACACACAACTGCAAGGAAATCAGTGGCTTGAACCACAAAGGTTTACTTCTCACACAGAGTTCTTTGCAGATCCTTTAGCTCTCTAGGTGGCTGTCCTGTGGGAGGGGGGGGGCATGCTCACCATCCCTGCTTACTTTGGTCTTGTGGCCTAATGTTGTGACGTTAACATGTGCTTCCATGCAGGGCACCACGGGCATGGAGAATCTCACACAACTCTTCTTCAATGTTTCCTCACAGAAGTGACAGTCTTCACTTTCACTCACATTTCATTTGCCAAAACAAGCCGGAGTCACTTGCTTTGAGGGAGAGGGGAGGAGCAGCCTTCTAGGGCACACGGAAGAAGAGGGGCTTGGAAATATCAGTGAGCAGCAGTAATGCCCACCATAGAGTACCTCAACCTTCTTTCTCAATAATTCTTTCTCAATTATTAACCTACATTTTCTGACACTTGGAACAAGTGTTTAGGCCATGTACAATGAAGATATATAGCAAAAAGGGGAGTTTTATCTGACCCTTCACTTCTAAGTAGAACCTACTCAGCAGCCTCTGTGGTTTGATGACTTCTCCACTCAGTTCTGCCCAGTCATCCTGGTCTGGGTGGGTGGGATGAAGGATGCCCTCTGGACCATGCCAAGGCAAAGGGGGCAGGGCTCTTGGGGTGGGTGGGGAAAAGGGATTCTGAGAGCCTAAAAGTGCAGCACATGGCCAGTGACAGCCTAGATTATTTACTGTTCTGTTCCCTAGGGATTTAAGGGTGCTGCACCTTAACTAAACAATGGAAATGGCTGTCACTGGGTTGTCCCAATAGCTGCTTTGTGGGTAAGTTAAAAAGCCAAATTTATGGGCAGTCCCTTTAGAGCTATAGTAAACACTAATAATCCCTTAAGATTAAGCACAGGAAGATCCTTTTATGACTATGAACAGTGAGGAACATTTGCAGCTCTGCAAATCTCTCTCCAAAGCCTCATCCACTTCCTGATAGACAAATGCCTAAAAAGCTTTGCAGTCTCCTCTGTGCCTGAGTTCACACCCTGCAGGGGCCAGGACCCTAGACCTAATTAGTCTATGAAGAGGCTGTAGATCAAGAAATGAGGGGTGTTGTGTCTCCTCTTCAGCAGTAACCCTGAAATGTCCATTGTATAACCTCTAGGTAGCCTGGAACTAGCCTTACGGAGTGTTTGAGTTTATGGTAGGTCACTACCAACACTTCAACTTCGGGCGTAAATTTTGAAATGTGTCACTGCTGTTTCATCAGCAGCAGGAGTCTCTGCTGTTTACTGTTGCTAAAAATCTCAACTGAATTGGAATGCTCTTGCCTTGAATGGAGGCTTTGTGTCCATGTTAAGAAAGATGCAACTAGCAAAAGGCATTGTTTCCACTTTTCTCTAAGCTGTCCCTTATGTTCAGCCCACGAACTAGCAGATCAGATGGATCAAAGATTGGCTATATTTCTGAGAATATTTAGAACTGCATGATAGTTCCAGGAAAAGACAAAACGGGGCTCCTCTGAGACTCAGCTGGTGCACTTGAACTCAGTGGCCCCGTGTTTCTTTGGCAGTTTTGCAGCAGAGGTCTTGTGTTGTCAGGGCAGTTGAGGTTTGGTGCTCATGTTTCTTGGAAGTGATACAAGAAAGAACCTGGCATCAGTTTTTATAAGCGTTGGCTCCAGAAATCAGAACAGGTAATCCTCCCTGGTGATGCTGTACATCTTACCCAGAGGAGACACATTTATGGAGCGGAGAATCCTTTAGAAAAATTGGCCCTTTTCTCTAAATAAATGGTGTGTGCTTAACTTCTAATAGCCAGAAGCCATAAATGGGAAGAATTGGGAGAGAACTCTGGAATAAATGGTTGAATTGGATTGAATTGTATTGGAAGATGTATATGAAACAAGAATGGAAAAAATGAATAATATGTTGCAGGAAAAAAATGTGCCTGGGGTTTTGCTCGGCCACACTGCAGTTGTGTGATCAGTCTGTTTTGCCTGAAGGCAGAGATGGGTTCCTGGGGAAGGTCCGGGGCTTGCCCTTGTCTTGTTCCGCAGACAGTGCAGCATTTTTGTTTTTTCCTGACTGCAAAGTTCAAAATGAGGATCGAGGTGTTCATTTCATTTATGCTAGAGAAAGCAGACTAAGTGGCAAGGCTTTTGTTGAACTTGAATCAGAAGATGAAGTCAAATTGGCCCTGAAAAAAAGAGAGAGAAACTATGGGACACACATTTTTAAGTATTCCAGAGAAGCAACGTTGAAATGGACTGTGTATTGAAGCACACTGGTGCGAACAGTCCTGACGTTGCCAATGATGACTTTGTACGGCTTAGAGGACTCTGCTCTGGATGCCACAGGGAAGAAGTGGTTCAATTCTTCTTCTGGCTGGATATCGTGCCCAATGGGACAACATTGCCGGTGGACTTCCAGAGGAGGCGTAGGGGAAGACCCCCGTGCAGTTTGCTTCACAGGAAATAGCTGAAAAGGCTCTAAAGAAACACAAGGAAATAATAGGGCGCAGGTATATCGAAACTTTTAAGAGCAGTCAGAATGAAGTTAGAGCTTACTATGATCCATCCCGAAAGCACTCGGCCATGCTGTGGCCAGGTCCCTAGGACAGACAGACCTGAAGCTGGT